CCGTGCGGCGATCACGGGCCGCGCTGGGCGCTGCCGCTCCGCCCGCCGCTCTGCCTCGCCTGCGCCGTGGAGACCCTGGGCGACGGCAGCGCCTCGGTGGGCAGCGCCTGCCCCGCCGCCCCTCCCCGTGTGCGGCTGGGCCGCGGAGCGCCCCCTGCGGTCCCTGCCCCGCCGGCCCGCTCTCTCCGGCGCTCAGTTTGGGGCCGGGGCCAGGTGTAGCCCTTGGCCGGTCTTGTCGCCTCGGCACCCGGGCCCTGGTGGCCCTTTTCCCCTCAGGGTGGTGGGAGCGGCGCGGGGCTCGGGCCCAAGGCCTAACGGGCTGCTGTGTTTGATCCGTAGCTGGTGCGCAAGAAGCACGTCCTGTCCCGTCTCCAGGATGCCCTGGCCTGGCAGGCGCTGCCAGTCGTCCAGCTGCTGGCACCAGACGAGAGGGTGTGCGTGCATTTGATAGGAACTCTCTTTGGTAAGAGCTCTGCTGAGGCCTGGTGCAGCAGGGAGGAGGCAGGTGCCTTTTGTTGAATGCGTATGAAGTTTCCTCACGTTTGAAGCCAAAAAAAAAGAGCAAAAGAATATTAAGGTGCCTACCTCCATTCTTCCACCGTTCTGTTATGCGTGTAATTATTCCCTGCAGAAAACTGCTTGTCACTGATTCAGAATAGGTTAATTAATTTTCTCATTCCCCAGGGTGCAGGATTGGCACGTTCGTAAAGCTCTTGAAATTTTCCAAAGTATCTTGACTTACCTGTAAAGTCCTTCTGGAGAATGGGGAGTGCCTGACATTCTTCCCTGAACGCCCTCCATTCTGGTCTCATGCCTCTGGAGTTACATGAAGATTCATAGCGAAATCAAAGCATGAGCTTTGTGTTGCAAAGGTGTTGCAGGATTTCATATCAAATGTGCAAAACACAAATCTGTGTAGAGGGTTTTCTTACACCATCACTTTACGTTTGTGTAAATCTTTGTTGCTGTATAACTAAAACCTACTGCTTTCTGTTGAGTCAGCCTCAGCAAAATAGCGTTCGGCAGGATGTCAGGAAGTGTCTTTCCAGTAAGTCTCTGTGATGTTGAACTTCTCTTACTGGTTTCTGTTTGCATAGCAGGGAGATGTCTTTGAAACATCTACAATCTTGATGGAGAAGGAATAGTGGTCTACATCAGGGAACAGTAAGGCAGGAAAGGAAAGGTGGAGGTTAGAAATAAGAGTCCCTTTAAAGGGCAAATATACCAGATTCCTTTAATCCCACCATCTCATTTGCACATCACAGATAATTCTTGTTCTTTGGGGAAAAGTAACCTGCAAGACCCTATCCCTGCTTTGACACACTGAATAGTTCAAACAGTTGATTGCACAAAAATTGTGTTGTGCATGTTTTGGAAGCAGCTTTGTTAGAAACAGAACTTTATGCACTTCTCATTATTTTAATTGCACAGGGTTGTTTTTTTTTTTAATAGTCTCTGAACACATAATCCTTCAGAGTAGTGGAAAGAGTGGTGATTGTGGGTAATTCAACCCTAAACTGTATGGCCCTAACACAAAATACCCCAGAAGACAGGGATGCTGTGCTTGCATTTCAACTCTCTTGTCTGCTTTAATAATTCTCTGAGAGTTCTCTTTATGACTGGGTGGTTTGAGGACAGCTTTGGGTTTTACTGTATTTGGTGTAATTTTTAGAGCAGTTGGAATCCCAGTCTAAGCCTGGAGCTACAAACAACGGCATGTTCATTTTCAATAGAGCTTGGATGAACCAAGGATCACTTGGTGCAAGAGTGTAAGAGGAACCCCCCAAAAGTCTGAGCAGTGCTGTAGAGGAAGTATTAATAGTGAATTCAGGAACATACATTGGGAGAGAGAGTATTGGAATAAGCACAGGCAGAAGAAAGAGAGACATAGTGTGGAGTGTTATGTGTGAGGCGGTATATTTCGGATAAGTCTGAATTTCATGCAGCTAATATTGTAATGTTCAATAATGCTGTATACAAATCTTTTCTAGAGTTACTAAGGATTGGGCAAATGAGGCAGGAAATAAGTAATTTCTTCACCTGTCATACCATTGCTTTAGTTGATCAAAATTCTGAGACATCATGGAGCCTTCAGAGGGGAGGTAGCTTGATAGGATGTATTGAAGCAAGTGATTCAGTGTGGCAGAAGTGGGGATCTGAACCGTATGCCTGATGCTATAGGTTGGAAGGGGCTGGGAGGTAGAGTTTTTTGTCTGCTGGGGTGTAGTAGAGTCAGACAGTGGTTTATTTTAATATATCAAATTTTATTGTAAAATTAACTTGTGAAGTGATGCCTTCAGGTTCAGTTTAATGTTGGAATAGTTTCTGGATGATTTAATCCTGCTGTTCAGATTTGGTTTCAGGATTTTCAGTACTGTGGAGGGAGAAGACTGTTCATAGTAACTGGTAAGAATGGAGGACACAAAGGACAAAACTCACAGCTGGGCTTTGACTTCTGTCATTTTGGGGCTGTTTCAGATGTATAGGACTGGATACACACAGTGAGGTGTGGTGGTGGCAGCAGTTACATACTCCCTGACATAGGTGGAGCTATTGACTTCAACTATAAAGCACATAAAAAATTTGCAAGAGAACCGAGCGTCTGATGCTTCTTGTGTCCTGCTTATGGAGTCACCTTTTGTGATACTCCTGGAGAGTATCCACCCTCATCTGACAAAGTCAGGCTGGTGTCATGTGAAGCAGGGAAAACAAAACAGTTCTGAAAAAACATTCAGCTCTTTTTAACAGGAAGGAATTACAGCACTGGTGATCAGAAGCAGGAATGAGTTCCATGACCTATTGTGGTTTATCTTGTAGGGATGTTGCATTCTGTGGAAGACAGCAGTGCCCTGAACCTATTGGTTGAAGGTGAGAGACAAGTGCCACATCTCAATTACTGGCAGTTTGTGAAGGGGAGAACCTGTCTTGTCTGATACCTATAGTGAGATGCTCAGCTTCAACACAGTTTCAGTTTCATCTATATCCATGCAACAAAAACGAGTGGTCTGCTCCAATATTGGGGGCCAGGGGAGTGTGTGCATGTTTAAATATTTAACATTTCTCTCACAGGTTCTGTGTGTGTCATGAATTTAGTATCAGATGGGGAACAGTGCCTCAACTTTGGCATCTTTAGACCTGACCAAATTGTCAAAGCAAATGGAAATCAATGGGATCTACTGCTTTTTTCCTCAGGAGTAGAGGGTATTTGTGATTTAGCTGTACGGGCTGCAGATTCCTCTTTGTGAGCAGTCGCTCATTTGAAAACTGAAGGAAACATCTGCAGGGCTGACAAAGGAATCTCTGCAGTCCAGTTAACCCTGGGCACCTCTGCTGAGTCTAGAGATATCAGCAGTGCAATGATGCATTTCATGTCCAGCCATGAAGGGTAAAAGGAGCTATGACAAACTTCTTACAGAGGGATTTTAGTTTTCAGACACTTGCTTAAAATGGGGTTGAAAAGTGGAGAAGTCTTTCTATCATGTTACCAGTCTGTTGAGAGATGGGTGCTCTCTAACAGAGGAATTTTAAATTAGTGTTGCCTAAGTCTTGAAAGTTTTTTAAGTTTCTGAGAGTTTGGGGCAAGAAAGGGCTATTAAACCATCAATAAATCACTTGTCTCAGACATGCTCCTGCTGAGATGCGTAACTCTGTAGCTTAAGCAGGTCTAGTATTGCCTTGGATGTACCAAGAAATGGTGAACCCAAAAGTCCCTGGTATTTCTTTTTAGAATACTTTCCTGGGATACGAATCAAAAGTGTAGGTTTTCCAAATGAGTCATGCCATGACAGGAAGCTACATCCAAGACATCCTTATCAAATCCTGCATAAAAATGTGTGCAGTGTCTCAGTAAAGGGGCTATTGCCAAAATTTTATCTGCTGAACATTCAGGTGCCAGTTCTAAAAGTACTGGAAGAGGAACTTTGCTTCCTGCAGCTGGCTTGCTGGTGTATGTGTAGAGGCACAGGCAGCCTGCCAACATCAGGCAACTCCCTTGTGATTTTGTTTGGGAAACCCCAGGTAATGTGTTGCCACTGCCTAGCAAACATAATTTCTTGCTGATTCCTCTTATTAGTACAGAGTTGACAGAGTTCTTAAGGTTTCAATGAACCAACAATAACAGCACTTATTGGGTGGGGCTGAGGAGGTGAACAGCACCACTCTGGTGCCTGGCACCTTGCTTTCTGGTAAGGTGTATGGGATAACTGCAATGGGGAGAAATGTCTGATAGACTTCACTTACTTTAGGGACAGTAGCAGCTGAAGGGGGAGCTCTGAGTGTGAATCTAAGGATCCTCAGCAGTTTCAGTTCTGATATTTTCTCTGGAAGGATGCGTTTTTAAAGGCCAGCTTTCATAGAGTAAGAAGCCTGGTCTATTCAATTACCATAATTCTTTATGCTTTTAAGCTAGGCTTTTCCCCCCTTCCTTTCCTGATTCCTTATGTTTACTTGCTGTCCTGAGGCTCAGTTTGTTGCTTGCAGCTCATTTCCATGCATGGTTTGTAGTGCAGCTCAAGCAGGACTCCTGGAATGATGCCTCAGAGAGCTTGAGCTGGGCTATCAGAAGTAATAGTGCTGGGAATGCTGCTGTAACCCTGCTCTCTCAGCACGTCTGTGCTCATTTCATTTCTAAGCTCTTTGCTCACCGGTCCGCTAAAGCCCTGTAGAAGATGGATTGTGAGAGCTCTTGTGTGTGTATTACTGATCCTGTTCTCTCTGCCTAGTTCTGGTGCGGCTTCTTGTGGAGCTGAAGTCAGAACAGTACTTATACTGCATTTTGGATGAAAGTCAGAAGGAGGTCAGTGAATATGAGTTCTCTTCCCCTTCCTTCCAGTCTTTCAGAGGTTGAGGAATGAGTGGCCCTGCAAGACTGAGATGTAGCAGTGGGATCACAGAATCATGGAATGGTTTGGGTTGGAAGTGACCTGAAAAATCATCTAGTTCCAACCTTCCTGGCATGGGCAGGGACACCTTCCAGTAGTCCAGGGTGCAAAAAACCCTATCCAACCTGACCTTGCATGTCCTAATGCCAGTTTCCCAGCTGTGGTGTTGTCAGTGTTAATATCTACTGTGGAGTTTTTATAGTCTCATGATGCCTTTCAGCCACAGGGCTTCATGATACTCTTATGAAGCTGTGTGGTTTCCTCAGATACTTCTTTTCCTACTTTACTGTTTCAGTTATGTGAGGAGCTTTCCCAGCCTGTGCCATGGGCTCTTACTCTCTTCATTCCTAAGCTTATAATGGTCCCACAGGGTACAAAAAAAGGGAAGTAGCAAAAGTGGTGAGAAATTAATCTGGTTCATCTGCCCACGTAAGAGATGGAGGGGAGAAAGAGGAAAAAGAACAACACACAAGCAATTCCTTGAATTCATTTAAAGACATTTTGGAGGCTTAGTGTGGTATTCAGGGTTTTCCTGTGGTTTATCCTAAGTGGTGAAGAGGACCCATCTTTGGTAAAGATCCTGTTCTGGAAAATTATGCATCACTGGGAACTTGCTGGTTTGGGTGCACTTCTGCCTTTGGACTGTGTCCTCATCAGTGAAACATTTTCCTTTTCTGTCTCCTCTACAGCTGTGCAAAGCAACTACCATGAGAAGCAGCCTGCCCACATTTTCTCTCTTGGGCAAGCTGGCAGATGCCATCCCAGGCTTTGCTGATATACTGGTGGGAAAGCACAGTGAGTAGTATGTCATGTCCCACTGAAGGCTGGTATTCACAGCCCCAGTACACACACATGCATGCACTCCCCTGTCCCCCAGACGAGTTCATGAAGGTCACACAAGAAGCCTGTCCAGAAGTCAGAGTGGCATTCAGGCATCCTGGGATACAGGTCAGAACCTTCATAGCAGGCTTGTTATTGTGCTTTTTGACAGGCAAAAGCAGCCTCTGTGAACTGAGGTTGTGGGTCTGCCTCACAAGCAACATACATTTAGGTTTTTTTCCTTGAACCAGTGCTTGGGGGGTCTGGTGAACAAGCTGAACGGTTTGTGGAGGGAGCTGGGGTGATGGATCTTCACACAGAGAACAGTGAGCTCTGCTAGCTGTTTATTACCTTACCTCTGCTCAGGGGGACAGATGCTGATGAGCACATCACCTAATTGTGGCATTCATTGACCTGCATACACCAGTCTGTCCAGTAGGCTTTTTCAAGTTTTCAAGGGAAACAGGTTAGTGCTTTTAAAATGTCAGTGAATGTTTGCTGTTCCTGTTCCTCATACTAGATAATTTAGTGGATCATCTGCTGATGGGCTTGATGTACCCAAATGAAGGTATAAAGGCTGCTGTCTGCTACTTGTATGGCAAGCTGTACTCCTCTCCTGTTGGCACAGAACGGCTCGCAGGACACTTTGAAGAAAGGCTGTGTGGTGTCTTCTTGAATACCTTGGGGTGTGCACAGACAAAGGAGCTGCAAGTTAATTGTTTGGGTAAGGCATTGCTGAGAGAAACTGCAAGGTGCAAGGGAAGGCTTAGAATGAGAAAGAAATCCTTGGCTGGTTTAGATGCTCTAATGTGGATCATTCCATAGAGGATCTTTATGCAGCTAGTCCAAAGCTGTCAATCCTTTCTGTTACTCCATAGCAATGGAGTGGCCCAGCACTGCTGCTGAGCACCCCCAGGTCCCCATGTTCCCTGATGCCTCACATTTGCCCAGCACTGACTAATCTTCAGTCTCTTCAGAGTTTGTGCTATGGCTTGAGCATCCCTCAAAGTGTCTGAATGCAAATACTGTGCACGGGCTGGTGGGTTTTGTAGAGCAGTGGGATGGAGTCTAAAAAATACTGTCTTTAGATGTGTGACATCATGTTAATTAGATATAGAGCTAATGTGGAACTTTTTTTCAGTTATCCTTCCAACTGCATGTTTCAGCTGTTGCTGGGGAGCAGAATTTCAGCCTTTCTGACATCACTTGTTTGTAAACCATCCAGGGAATTCATTTTCCCAGAAGGAGGCAAGCAGGAACTGAATTGCTCCTCAGCTTATCTACTCAACTACTAGAAATAGATTATGATTCTTTTGAAAGTAGAATTCTGTAGCTCAGATGATACCCCTGTGAATTTTACTGATGTGTACTGATGATTTGCATCAATACCTGTAGCAGTGATCTATACTGGGAGTTTTTTGGAGTGTGGGTATCCTTTAGGTGAGCACGGCTGTTTCTGTAAGAGCCTGTGAAAACAGAAGGGGAAAATAAAGGCCTGTTCTCTAGGAAGTGTTCTAGGGAAAATGTCTTATTGTTGGGGTCACTGGCCGCTTGGAGTAGAATACAGGTCCAGAGCTCTCCCAAGAAACAGTTTAAGGTGTGGTTACTAATAGAAGATAACACAAGTAGAGGGCTCCTGAGATGCGCCTGTGTACATACATGACTCTGAGAAGGAACAGAGAGCAGATCAGAGCAGCAAAAAGTATCAGCAACAAGGGGTTGCAAGACATGGGGGTCATGGCAGTATCTGGGGACAAAGTGAGAAATGAGAAGAAGCTCCCTAAACTGGAGGTGAGGCCCTCCAGGACAGGAAAGGAAGTTGTCAACAAGTCTTAGTCTGTAAATACTCATGTGTTAATACAATCCTCACTGTGCTGCTTAGTATGGTGCTCATTCTTGCTCCTCCTTTTACAGGTTTGCTAAAGGAGCTGCTGAAATCTGATCATTTTGTATCTATTCTTATGAATAATTCAAAGACAGAGGAGGAGACTGAGAACCCTGACTTTTTAGCAGGGGAAAATCCACTGCCACTTGTTCTCAAAAAGGTGATTGCTGAAGTGAATTGTTGGTACATGTAAAAAATTTGCTGGCCTGTAATGTACCTTTATCTAAGGCACTGTATATATAAAAAAGCAGAGTGTTATGTTACCAACACCAGCAATAGGGGCTGCACTGAGAAATGGGGATAGCTCTGTTGATCACCTTCTTGTTCATTCCTGCATCCTGGAATGGGGAAAATTTTACTCCTGGCCTTAGCTGATTTTACTCACTTACGCTTCAGGTCTAATACAGCACATGCAGCACCAGCATGACTAAGCCTGGGGGCAGAACTATTCTTACTCATGATCTATTCTGTTGTGGTTCTCATGTGCTTTTTCGAGTCTCTTTGGTTCGGTGTTTTATCTTGCCTTAGCAAGTTTAATCTGTGAAATAAATGCCAAAAGAGAGATCTTAATTTATGTTTTAAGTTTTAAAAAGTAGAACAAATTGTTTACTACTCATAGCTGCATAGCTGACTTCCTTTCTCCTTTTGACTTTTGCTTCCCAACAGCTCTTGTTGACCAGAGATGAGATGTTACAGGCAGCGAGTTCTCACTGTATGGCTTCAGTGCTGGTTCACTCTCCTAGCAGATATGCTTCTGCTTTTATCCATGCAGATGTCCCAGGTGAACAAATGCAGTAGCATCTCATTGTTCGTTCCCCAGTATCAAAGCTGCTCCTGGCTGTTTGGCTTAGGAATAAGGCTGGCTCCATGAAATCCACTGGTGGCATAATGTGGTGGTCATTTTATACCAGGTGATTTTAGGAGTTGAAGAGGAGAATATGTTTTCAACTGAAAGTTTAGAAGCAGGTGTCACCAGGAGTTTCCACAGAGAGAATTTGGCTGAGTCCTTGAGGTCAAGATCCTTCTTAAGGAACTTAGATACAAGCCTAAGCAAACCGGGGTTCTGTCTCATTCCACTAAATATTGTAAGTTTGCTCAGATTTTGGTCTAGGATTTAGCTTTAGAATGTGGCTGTGTGAGATAGTTTATTATTTCTCTGTAATCCCAAAAGACAGAAATACTTTCATGATACAAATTCTTTGGGAGATGTAAAAGTCATGACGAAAAAAGGTCACTGCATCTGTGGTAAAGCTTGCTTTGTGGCTTTTCATTTGTGCCAAGGGCTAGATCCACAATTCAGCTTCTCCTACTGAGTTTGTGCTGGGAAGATGCCTGCCCATGGGTCTCTGCTCTCCAGTCACCTCTTTTTGAAGACTAGCATACCTCGAGCATCTGCTTTATTCTCCATTCCTGTCATTTCATAGTACAGCCGTTCTCCCTGTGGCTGTTGCTGTGTTTCCTCGTTTCCTCCTCCTTCCTCTGTTCTGTTCTAGGAGAAGCTGTGCCATGCTGTGAGCAGCCTACCTCTTACCAGAGTGACCTTATTTGTGTGTGTGTTTGCAGAGTTTCTTTTCGAGTGTCTCTTGTGCAAAAGTGAATTCCTAATCTGGTCAGTGTACTGCTGCCTGCTCCTCCTGACTGAAGAGCGCCTTTTCTTCTCCAAGTGTCACACCGTCTATGGTGAGTCATCAACCTTTCTGACAGAGTGACTGCAGTAATTCTTGTGCCTCTAGCTGAATTCCAGTGCTTTACACACAATCACAATTTCCAGTCAGGATGAATAAAGGACCAAAAATAAGTACCTATCAGACATGTTTGTGATGTCCAATGTAGCTTGAATTTATAGTGTCATTGTCCTAATGAGTTTCTGATGAGCATTAATTCATTAAAATAACCAGTTACCATGACTGACACTCTCTGAATTACTGTTAATTTTTTTCTGTGGATATGCCAAGAGTAGATTTGGGAAGAATGGTTAAATTCCTTCTGTTCTTTGGGACTTATCTGCAGCGGTGAAGGTTGAGGCATGTTATGAGGGAGCTGAGTGAACACTCAACAGTTTTGGACAATTGTTTCTGTCAGTAGCTCAGAAGAATAATTGTTCAAATCTTTCTTCCTTTTAAAAATTAATTTTGCTTCCATTCTGGAATCTGGAATATTAAAAGCCTCTCTGTGGCTTCTCTTGAACATGTACAGGCATTGAATCTCTGGTGAGGAGTCTCCAGGGTGTCCTGCTGCTGAACAATGTGGAGTTGCACAAGCAAGGGCTCCTGCTCTTCACTGAAATACTGAAACGGTAAGGGAGTACCCTGTCAGGCTTGCACAGGCAGAGTTTGGTAGCCCAAAATGGAGACTCTGTGGGTTTTGCTTATTAAGATTTTTTTCCAAGACTGGATATCTACATACAAGAGTTTTTGTGTTTAAAAGATGGTGCTGAACAATCTCATCTCCTTTGTTCTTGCAAAGAATGGCCTGATGGTTGTTTCTGAACCTCACAGCTTGTCCTGGCTGTGCCTGCATCCACCACTGTATCTTCCTCTTCTTGCTTCCTTGTCAGTCGAGGAGGTGAAATCTCTTTTCAGCTGTAGACAGAGCAGGAGAGAAGGCCAGGAAGGGCCAGGCATATGTGAGCAGGCCAACTTCTGCTAAGTGTGCCTCTATGACAAAACAAAGCATGCAAATTCCATGGCCTCTGGTCTTCTATCATCATCTGAGCTAAATTCAAACTGCAAAAACAAATTCCAGGCTGAAATATTAATGTCTTCTGTCACTTTTTTCCTCTTGTTTTCTGCTAAGAAATAATATACACTGGCTTGTTTTTCTTCTGTGCTTCCTGTTGTTGCCTCTATGATCTTGTTCCTATCCTGTCATGCTAGTGACAGAGTCTCGTTTTTGCCACTTAGATCCCCCAGGAGAGCCCTTGAGCAGAATTTTGGAAATGTCATAGTCAATTTTGTAGCAAGTGGCAGGGTAAAAAGGAGAAGAAAAAGCAACAGTGCTAGAACAGTGTGGTGATGCCAGTGTGGGATCTGTCAAAAAGAGAAACCAGAATGTGGGGAACACTAATTACAGCATTTATGCTTGTAAAACAAAGAGAACACTCTGTGCAGTTACTCTAATTTTCTCGCACACCCATTGTGTTTCTCTGAGCTTTGCCTTAGAAATCACGTTTTATTTAAAATTATCTCAGAGTGCGGAAAGGGATCTTGTGCTGGAACCTCTCATCTTGGTTTTAGTTTGCAGCTGGATTCTCTTGTATAAGTGAGCCACACATTCTGGTGAGGTCCATACTGGATGTATTGCTCCCCTTGGCAGTATGTCAGGAATGTTGGGTAGTTCTCCCTAGAGTGATCCTTGTCTCTCCCAGCATAATCAAAGTGGCAGGTGCAGTGGCAGGTCCAAAGATGAGAGGTTGCAGGAAGCTGCAAGAGTGCTGCCCTTCACACTTTCCCCCCAGGCCCCAAAGATATTGCAGCGCGCCATATTGAAAGTGGGTTTGTGCGTCTTGAATGAGTCAGCAATACTCCTCCATCCCTTCCTCCCTGCATGAGTCAATGAAGACTTTTTTCTTCCTGATGTGTTTTACTTCAGAAGGGTACCGATAAAGAAAGGAAATACAGAGGATTAATAGAATTACCCAGTGTAAGTAGAAGCAACTTGGAAGTTCAGTGCATCACTTGTGGCTTGGCTCCTGATGCCTGAGTTCCACAAGTCCTTTTCTTTCCCATGCCCACCTCACAGCTTTTTCTCACAGCAGAATGTGAGGTGGCTGCAAAGCTGGGTTCCATCCCACTGAGTGACTAAAAAGAGTGGTTCTTCCTCTGTTCCCTTTTTGCCATGTAACTGGGCTACTAGTGTAATTTCTACTGAAGTTCACTTTGCTTTCCCATTTGTGCATGACAGCATGTGCTCCTGGCTTGCCTCAGTCAGGCACGACTGTGAAAATTGAATAACAGGGAATACTTTTGGCTCCCAAATCTGGCTCCTGTCATGCTGTGCTGCTTTTCTTGCTTCACTTTGGAAGCACCCTCTGGCAGGCTGTTAGTGCCTAGGTAGCATGTAGCCTACCTATCTTCCCCCTGTCCTCCCATCTGTACCTGACTTGCCAGGAGCCAAAAGAGCAAGGTCTGCCATTTACACAGCTCTGTCCAATAATGGGATTAATAGCCTGTTGTCCCTCCATGCTCTTGTATGCTCAAAGGTGTTGGGTCACAGATGACCAGAATTCTCACTGTCGAGAAGGATTGTCAAAACAGTTGGATTGTGTTCATTTTCCTTATTACTTTTCAAGTTTATGAAGGTTCCTGTCCTGGCAGCATCTGGCATTAGGAGTACGGTGAGAGAAGCTATTATCATGGCATTATCTATTCTAGGATGGTGATGTTTGCTTGTTTTCTTAAAAATATGAGTTGCTAGATGAACTCACAAATGCCAGAGCAGATGGCCGGAACATAAAGTCCTAGGCGCGGAGATCACTATATCTTGCAAAGCTTGTTTTTCTTGTGCTTTTCATGTCAGTGTTCTGGAGTAGTTACGCAGTTATCCAGGCTGTAGGTGTTTTAGCATGCTAGTGCTTCAGCCTGGCTGAAATTTCCTCTTTATAGTAAAGCCTCTACCTGCTCAAGTCTGAGAGTACCTCCTTGAGAGCAACTGGCTCTCAATACTGAAGAACGTGGTTGCAATCTCATGGCTGAGCTGTCTATTTGCTCAAATTAGGGAAGGGCACTACAGTTACCTAAGTCTGACAACATTCTCCTTGCTTACTTTGTTTCCTCTTCACAGGCAACCAGTGGAAATCAAATTATTCACAAACCGAGGTGTATGTATAGAAGCCATTGATGTTCTGATGGAGACAGTGAACTGCCCAGCGCTGGAGGTGGCGGTGGAGGCTGTGAAAGCTGTGGCAGCTTTCCTGAGGTAGGCAGGAAAGTATTCGCAGACTTTTCTTCAGATACATCTGTTGATACCATCTTGGGCTTTGCAGTTCCCCTGTGGCTGTGTGGGTGAACGTGCTCTGCAGTGGGACTTGTGGCTGAGGCAGGCGTGGGTACAGCAGAGCCAGCTTCCCACCCACCTCAGGAAAGCTGCCAGAGCAATGAAGCTGTGGCAGGCAACAAGTCATTGCGGCAAGGACCTGGTGTTCCAGGCAGGCTTGTACAGCAGCTGCTGTGGCTTTGTCAGTCTGTACTCCATACAGATTGATAAGAATAATAAACATAAGACTCTGGACAGTCATGGCCTTCCTGACTGTGGTGGGAGCAGACAGAGTACTGAGGGTGTGTTTGGGCTCGTGTGGGTGAAAGCGCTGTTCAGATATTGTGACCTTACTATTCTCTGCTGGAAAGAAGTGGCAATGGCATATTTCCATCAGAAGAGCAGTTATTTCTGATGGTGTTGCCTTCCTAGTGGAATGTTCCCAGCAGGGACTGTGCATCTTGTCTTTTACCCTGTTAAGGAAGGACCATCTGAGCTCCCCTCCAGTCCCATATGAAGAGCTGCAGAAGCTTCTGGAAGCAGTGCTGAAGCGATGTGCTGACCTTTCCCCACCACAGAGTAGTAAGAGGCATGCAGTAAGTCAAAAATTGCTTGTTGGTAGGACTGAGCAGGACAGGGATGATCTTCCTAGGACACTGTGTGGATATTTTTTATATGTTCCACCCCCTTACTTATATCCCCCATGGCTGTTTGGTTCTCCGCTATTTCTTTTGATCCTCTTGTCTTGAGATGGTTCTAGACTTTGAAGCAGATGAAGATGGATCCTGGTGAATGTTACCTTTCTAAATCAATGAAGTTCTGTGGGGCATCACTTGAGCATGCTATTCTCTTTATGTGTCCAGTACTCCAATGTAATTTGAATTTCCTTTTCTTCCAGCCCCTACCTTGTAGGCTTGTGATCAAATCTGTTTTTTCAGCAATGAACATTTCTTGTTCTACGTTTAGATCAAGAGTGTCACCATATATACACTGTGATCCTTCAGCAAGGGAGTTGTTAGCCACTATTTGGACTATAAATCCTTCCCTGTTCCTGGCATCCACAGTTAGTGTGATGTGCTGCTGGGACCTCTGCACCTCTGAGAAGAGCCCCAGCTGCAGATGGCTAATGAAAAGACAAGGGCTGAGCCTTCTTGCTGTAGGCTTAGAGCCACGTAGGTTTAGATTGCATGCCAGTAGTGACAAGAACACCTCAATGCTCAAAGAAGTAGCAGAACTCCAAATTCTCGATGAACTATTTTTAGACCCAAGTTCTGTGGTACCAGGTATTGGCCCTCTCTGCCGGAAGAAGGCAGAAGTGCTTTCTGTCCTGTTGACAGATGTTGGCCAGTCAGTTTGCAAACATACAGAGCTAGGTGTCCCTTTCAGAATTAGGAGCTTCACAGCAAGGAAATTAGACAGACAGTGAGGATATCCAGGCTGTGTTTAAAGGGAGAAAAGGGGAAATGATGATACCTCTGCCAAGGTAACTCAGCATGAATGGAGATGGAGTTCTGAACTGCCAGGAACCAGTGTCTAGCTGTGTCCTCCTTTATTATTTTTAATATGTATTATTAATATGTATTATGGAGAAGACCACCACAACAGGTTAAGGCTTAAAGGCAGATTTTGAGTTCCAAGTTGTTCCAAATTTGGGCAAATGATTAACTCTGACGCTTCAGTTGGCTTCAGGCTTAAGTTAGTGGGATGCTGTGTGGGAACAAGAATTAGTATATGGATAGCTGCTTAAAACTCTGAGCCAAAGTAGAAGAGCTTCTAAGATTTCATTGCTAAGTAAGGAGAAGAATTATCCTGCATTGTCTCAAGAATATTTGGAAGAAAGAAAATAAAAAAAATAGAAGTTTTCTCAGAAGGATTTAAAGCTCCATTAGCTGAAATGCTTAAAACTCAGATTAGGTCAAAATACAGACTCTAAAGACAGGGAAGTGCAGAGCTAGTAGCTCCATAACTCTGTCCTCCCTAAGAAGATGCAAGCTGTTTAGCTCTGCCCTCTCTGGGGAAAGCACAGTAGTGAAAAAATTGTGTGAAGGAGCGAAATGAAATCTGTTGTTTCTCCTGTTGCTGCTGGTGTCAGAGGAGAAAGCAATTTTTTTCTGAAAGTGGACATAAGATTTTAAAGACGTCTCTCCTTTAACAGGGTGATCTCCTATTCTCAGTGTCTCAGAGTCACCTGGCAAACAGAAATCTTGGTAGAGTTCCTCAGAGACACGGTCAGTTCTTACTCAATACCCTGGAAAGTTTCAGAAATGCTTGCAGGTGAGGACAAGTCAGGAAGGTGTGTGGGTGGGTGGTATGTGTCTATGTCTGTCCATTCTTCTGTCCTTGTGACTATGTTCTTCCACCCAACCCCACCAAAGAAATATCACAGGTGAGAGTTCAGTGCATGGCACTGGTCAGTGAAACTGCAGAGTGAGGGGTATGTATTAATAGTGATAATTTTGTGATACCTGAATATGTCTCCCATGAAATTTGCCTGGGACCTATCCATTTTTTTAATGTCTTTGGGATTTGAGGGCCTACTTGAAAATTCATCAAAACTGATGATAATATAAGAACTATTGGAAGGTATGTGTGAAACCAGATTCCTGTGCTATGTGGTTTCACTGCCAGAGGGGACTAACCATTTAACAAATGTGTATCTGCTCCAGGTGCTGGCCTTGGATTTGCTCATGTCTGTGACCTCTTACTGAAAATGGGTTTATAGGCACCAACTTTACCTCTTTTGCTGGATCAGAGCACCATTTGGCACCCTTAGCTGCACAGCATACAGTGGTAGATGAGTTTGTGTATGAATCAGGATGAATCAGGATCAGCTTTTAGGGTAGTCTGGCCAAATTAGTTTTTGCATTGCATCACTTGGATTGGCAGAGATAATTCAGTCAAAAGCAGACATGCCTTTCTGCACTGACCCAGAGTCTTGGGGTGGTATTAGAGGGCACTCAGGTTCTGTCATGGATTTTATATCAGCTAAATGGTCCCTTGGCTGATTTTCGCAAGGTTTGCTGTGTTGTGCATCAGGCACTCTGGTATGGCTGAAAACCAGTCTTGCCACACCAGAGCTTCCCACAGCAGATGCTTTCTTCACAGAAACTAAGTCTTCCTTTCCCAATGTGTACTGTTGTGAAACCTTGATAGCTTTTAATAGCTTCGCTCAAGAGGTAACTGAGTGTGATTGCCAAATTCCTGTTTCCAACCCATCAAGTGTTTGAATTATGGTGAAATTTGGATTAAAATGTAGTATATGCTGACTTCCTTTACAGAGTAGGGAGGTTTCCTCTTTCCTTTGTTATCCACTGTGTGTTTGTAGGTTAGCAGTGGAATTCCAGGGTGACTTCATGGCCCAGGAGAATGCTTTCACTGCCCCCAACTCTGAGAGCAAAGACACACTAAGCAATTTCTCTGAGTTCCTGCTGAGGATTTGTGACAGTCTCTGCATCCCCATGGTCATGGTAGGATTTCTTTTGAACTTGGTCTGTTCCATGGATACCTGGGAAGGTGCTTTCAAGCACCAAGAGTGGGTTGCACAAATGTTTTTTTTCTTGGGAAGAGGTCACGTCAAGTAAACTGAGAACAACTGTGGCATTTGCCACTTTTGCACAGCCAAATATGGAACTATATAGTTCATGGAAAACTGTGTAGTTCATTCTGCTCTCAGAGGGTGCAGAAATTCATAAAGTTTCCACGTAGATGTCAGTGTCTTTCTTCAGACTGTGTAATCCCATAGCCTACCTACCATGCTGTAGGATCCGTTGCAGCTCCAGATGTGTCAGAAAACTGTTGTTTCCCCATGTGCCACTCTTTCAAAACTTGCCTGTGTCCCAGAGAGCAGCCATGGTTTGCACCTGCAATTTAATTTCTATGCTTTTTGCCAGAAGGTGCTGATGAGGCTGCCCAGTCTGCACAGCAAGGACGGTATTAAGCATTGTGCCTGAGTAAGGCCTGTGACATGATTTAAAAAGTAGCTGTGAAGACTGATGAGGGCTTTAGTGCTCCATACAGGCCTGTCCCTAACACACTTCAAGCAGAATTGTCAAAAAACTGGGACTTTTGTTGTGGTTTCTAATGTTTAGTCAAGTTTGCTTGTGCTTTGTGGCAGGTACAGGTGTATGAATTCTTGCAGTTGTTAGGAGCTTGGAGATGTTTTGGTCCGTGTTTTCTTAACCGATCTCTTGGTAGGCAGCTGCAGTGACACTGCTGTTCTCCTCCCTGACAGGAGGGTGCAGTGCATGTCCAGGTTGGCCAAGCTGGAGTCAGCGTGCTGTTTCTTGCTCATTGAACTTGGGTAAAAATTAATGGACTGTGAGAAAATCATCCTGTGACCTTCAACAAGAATTAGTTGAGTTGTTCTGTTCTAAACAGTTCAGGGCTGGACTCTGTAGAGAGCTCAAATGCCTGTGTTTGCCACTGCTCGGTGAAATGCTGAGCAGAGGTGTTAAGTGTTGCTGAAGTCAGCTGCACTTAAACATATGTCCTATGTTGTATAGGAGAATTAGCCATCTGACCTGTAAGAGCAGTAACTTCCAGGGCAGTGTGGGCAGTAATGTCAGTCACTGTGCATTAACTGCTGGAATCCAGAAGAGGTTTCTTGTCTGGTGTGATGTCTTGCAGAGTTACCAGCACAGCTCATAGTGCTGGCTGAGGAGAGTGCTCGGTGAGCTTGCTATGCTGCCAGGCATTTTGGTAAAAGAACTGCCACTCTCTTTGTTTGGATTTAGAAACCTGACTTTCTGGGCAGGCAGGAGGCTGGAAGAAAGCTGCTGCCTTCAGTGTTAATAGCATCTTGTGCACCTGATCTATTTGTCTTTCCACAGAGCCATCTGGAAAGGGCTGTCAGCCCGTCAGTGACGGAGGTTTTCATCTCAACACTCAGTACCCTCTTTACAGTGGTGCCAAGCATGCGGAATAAGTTCTCCAAGAAGCTGGGTATGAGGATCTTGTGGGATCATGTTCTCTGTGCTCTTAACTGGTGCAGCTTGCTGCTACTGCATATAATTGAGGCAACCAGCCTAACATTGAGACTTTATGTGGAGGATTCTATTACATGTTTATATGAGTAAGAATAGAGTGCATAGTCATGTTCAGCAGGATGGAAAAATTATTTGGTCTAGCTCTGATGATGGGACAGGTTTTATTTTGGATAAGAATGTTGTGTCAGCTTTATCCTTCCCTCTGGAATAATTCAGAATTGAATTGACTGTTCCTGTAGACAGGGATTATGCTGGAATTGTTGGTGGGATTTTACTATGTAGAAATCCTAGCTTAGTCTATGTATGCCTTATTCTTCACACATCAGAGAGGTGATGTAGACAATTCCTCAGTTCTAAACATGTGAAACTGACAAATATTCACTTCTCCTCCTGAGCAAACAAATGAACCTCAGATACTTCCATCAAACCCAAACATGGAGTAGTTTACTTTATGAGAGGCAGCCTAATGTATGTGTTCTTACTGAGATGGCCTGCCCTCTTCACCAGGCTTGTATGGGGATTTGTGGGGGTGTTATGGGATCTGCCTAGTCTTTTTCTTATCATACATGTTCTGTGCTCTTTTGGCATTTCTGTCTTGCTTTCTGTCTAGCATCCTCGTCCTTCATCCGACTGACACTGGAGCTGAAGGCCAGATTTTGCTCTGTACAGAGGTATTGTGACATGTGCATTGTAAGTGAGCCAAAAATTTCCAGATGGGAAAGTAGATCATGCCTTATCTAATACACCTGATTAGGCAAGATGAGAGGCTGAAAGACTCAAGAATGGTTGTATCTTACTGAAAAATGTAAATGGCTACTGACAATGGAAGAGCTTGATGTGAGAGAAGGGAGAAGCAGTTGGGTGGGGGGCGGATGGATTTACACAGCACTGTGAGAATTCTGTGCTCTGTCGTGAGTTGCACAGAGATAAAGAAGCCTGACTTTGGAGTAGTCAGCTCAGTGGGTGTTCTGAAGAGAAGTACCAGTAGCATCAGTTCCATCTGAGCTCTGGCTTCCTAGGCGTATACTACCACTGTTGTTATTCCTCATGGTGTGATAA